TTTATTAATGGAAAATCACATTGCTACTAGCCGTTCATTACCAAATATAAGTTTAAATGGGTACTTTTGTACATGTCTCTTTGTAGACATGGGCAAATATTTCTCTATGATAATCAGAAATAAACTATCTGGACCTCAGGCTATGTGCGGTGTCGACTTCACTACATGTAAATAGTGGCAACTGCTTCTCAAAGTAGTTGTTTTTATGTGCTTCTACTGTTAGTGTATGGGGCTCCTGCAGCCTTGCAGCTAGTGGTGTTGTCAGACCTTTACATTTTTTCTGTCTGATGGTTTTTAAATGTATCTCATCACTACTCTCCAATCTGGTTTCCATCCTCCTTTGGCTATAAAAACTGTTCTTTTATAGACATCTAATAATTACCTTCTTGCCAAATCACAAAGACTTTACTTGTCTGCATCATTCTATTGTACCTCAGTTGCATTTGGCATGCCAGCAACCACCAAGTCCAAAGTCTCTTTTCCTTTTTATAACATTTAACAATACTCTAGGGCAGAGGAGATATTGAACAAGATATCGTCTTTGTAGTTTGGGTGTCACTCTCACAGATAAGTCAGGAAAAATAGTCTTAAAAATACACACTAGAACTGCAGATGTGGAAAGTTAAATGTTCAAGTACCATTTATAATATTAAGTACATGAATATCAACACAAATACTACCAGGTTATGAGGTATGCAGAAAATAGCACGAGACACACTTATATTAAGCACTACATTTATCTCAACATAAAACAATTATATCTTAATTACACTCATGTAGTTTATGTGTGTAATGCGTGTTAGTTTAATAAACTTATTGGATATAAAATGCAATAAATGTTTTATGCTTTAAAGCCAACATTATTTGAATCTACTAATTTCCAAAAGGGGGCTATGAGTCTCAGGGAAGCTGTTTATAGGACATCTTCCATTTCTTTTTCATGAGCTGTAGTTCATTCTGACTATGCAAGCTAGAACACAAATTAAAAAGTAAGATCATTTGGACCTGGCCCCAGGAACCATTAAATGAGTCTCAATGGGGAGCTGTATATGGAAAATTACCTTTAAAATTGTTTACTGGAACTTATGCAAGTCTGACATAGCCAGTCTCACGGCTCCTTGTCTTCTCCTGATGTCACTTATGACATCAAACAAACATTCATTTAAGAACTTCACACAGTAGATATTTACTGGGTATTGACTCAATGACTTTTCTAACTCAGAGGAGCAGGCAATTAATAAAAGAGTTCCCTTGCTCAAACAGCTTAGATTCCAGAGCTCCATAAAAGTAATAATGTCAGCCTTTGCCCAGCACCTCCTGGTGTTTTGATGGGTGGACTATTTTGTTTTGTGGAAATAATTGGGTATTTGTCATTCTTGGTGAAAATAAAACTCCAAGTTGAGAAAAGGCTAATATAAAGTAAAGGTTCAAAAGTTCCATAAAGATGAGTCCTAGTATTTCAGTATGGTTGAAGTCTAAAAGTACAAAGCAATGATAGCAATTAAACCTCTTAAAATATTTTAGGAAAAATTATTTTTAAAAATTTATAATATTTTTTAAAAATTATTTTCTCTATCTCACACATGGCTTGGCAATTACTAAAAATCTATAACCAAAATCCTCAACAATTTTTTACAAAATGCCCCTTTAAATGAAAGAAATAAAACTACGTTTCTCAGCTGATTCTCATTAAACTTTGCATTCTGAATATTTCCAAAACTTTTATAAGAAGCAGTATGATATTTCTTTGTGGAATTTCCATAGTCTTCAGAAAACTCAATAAAGGATATGATAATTCAAGTTTGGCAGAAGATCGATCACTATTTTTTATTTTCCTTGGTATGACTTGTGATGGTTCTACTAATGGGAAAGTCTACTCAACTATTAATTTGTGATGGATATTTGCTACTTTATGAAATAAAAATGATCGTTTCTCAAGTTTTGGTGACTATCACATATATAAAAATTTCTTTCAGTCATTCTAAACCAAAAAGGAGAATTCAAGATAGGGAAGATTATAGTATTTTATTTTATTAGTCTAGAAATATTGGACTGGTAACCTGGATTGCTCGCAAAAACTTTGGTCCTGTGCCCTTTTTCACCAAGTTATAATTTTGTAAATACTGCCCAGTTCTGCAGATCACAGCATCACCATCAAGGTAGTCAGTTATGAGAAAAACCAATGCATGAAACATCAGATGTTTTTCTTTGGTTTATGAAGGATACATATGTGGATCAAAAACTACTCATGTTCCATGTTGAGGTGCTTTGGTTTTGAAAAAGAAATATGCTTTGTCTCATTTTATGAGTTGAAGGACCTACTGGCCTATTTTTGGAACACCAGAGAAAAGAACAACTGTGTCAATCTTGAAAAAGTTGTGATAGTCAGTGGGTCTTGGCCATTTGGCACACAGACTTTAAGTATTGAGCACACAGAATCTGAAATTTCACGAGAAAATTTCCAACTTCATTTCTCATTATAGTAGATTTTTAATATTTATAGCCAAAATTCAGATATGGATACAGCATATTTATGCCACAAACTCTAATTATTACCTTGGTAAACATTTTAAATTAATTTAAATGAGAAAAATGAAGACTCTGTCTGCTTCTTCTGTAGGAAACATGTGGATGGTATATTCTTGATGCTCTGGCTAAAAATCCCTTTTGGAAACTCAGAAGAAATATTTACTAGCACTGAACTATACCCAACTAGCTTTGAATAAATATTTTAAATTCAGTTTCCAATATTATTTTTTGTATACTCCTGGTAGAGCAAAATATTATCTCCAAGAATTATACAGGCTTTCCTTATCACTATTCGATGTTCACCAACATCTACATGCAACCCAAATTTTTCACACTTTGGACAAACCAGGTACCAACACAATAGATTTGATATGGATATAAGCACACAGTGATGTCCTTCATTTTCCATACAACATAACAGAAAATTTTATAGCACTCAAGCATATTTAACTCTCACATAATCAAATTTTTAAAAATAATTAAAGGATTCAAAAATATTTTTTCTTTTTCTAAAAACCAGCACTGAAAATATTTTTAGATAAAACTTTAAATTTTAAAATTACACTTTTAATGTTTAAAATTATGGAAACACTGTGAATCAAAGCCACTATCTCATCTACATACGTCTTTTGTGGATCCCTTTACTTATTAAATTTTTTCACTTGAAGATTTCCAAAACTTAGCTCTCGGTCATTTTCTCTCTTTCTTTTTCCTTTTTCTTTTATCTTTCCTTTTTGTAATACCCTCAGAAAATGAAACACTGTCACAATTTGAACTCTAGTTTCTGCACAGAGAGACTTCCAGAGGTTCTTACCCTTTAACAAATTTTTAATTAGTATATGTTTCTTTCAAGTCATCCACCTCAAATGTATTAGACACCTACTGTCTACATGTCCTGCCTCAGGCACCAAGGACACAGTAGATCACAGAGCAGTCAGTATGGCTCTGTTCAGTAATGCTCACCCCACCACATTCTTGTTTAAAACTCAAAATTTCCCATTTCCACAAACTCTTTTTTTTTTCTTTTTTTTGGGGGGTGGGGTGGGTTAGGTACTGGGAATTGAAGCCAGGGGTACACAATCACTGAACTACACTCCTGGCCATTTTTATTTATTTTCTTTTAAGACAGGCTCTCACTAAATTATCTAGACTGACTTCAAACTTGTAATCCTCCTGCATGGCCATGCCCAGCTTCATTAATATTCCTGTCAACACTACCTAATCCTAGGCATCCAGATGTTTAATTGTAAGGTTCATTTAAATACTGGGGAAATGAGAGTAGAAGACTTTTTAGTCCGTACTCTGCACTTATTTCCTATCTGTCTTTTCTCCCATTTTCTAATTAGCCCCCTGGCATTCAGGGTCTTTCCATTACAATCCATTGTATACACAGTTAGCCCTTTAATTTTAGAATATCATCTGTATAACATCTCATCTCATTTCAAAACCTTGAGTTGCTCATCATCATGTATAGAATAAAATGTAAACATGTCATTCTAGCATTTAAAACAACCACAAAGTATAAGGTATTTTCCAGCTTCCTCCTACAGCTGTCCCGTACACATTTTCTGCTGTAGTCAGAGACTTTCCTCACTGTTCACAAGCATACTTTCACATTTCCCCTTTCAGCACCTCACTGAGTGCTTCCCAACCTCTTCCTTGGTTGCCCAATCTAAGAAATTCCTGGAATGGCAACCCTGAATTCACCCCTTAACTTTTCCAACCAATATTCAACTTGTTCAAAAAGCAAGGATTGTGTTCATTTTGGTGCTCATTATGTTTTGATGACTTCGCTTTTAAAAATGAATATATTTGATGACTTAACTTTTAAAAAGTAAAAACTTCAATTTCTATAACTTTAGGGCTTTTATTTTCTTCTTCTTCTTTTCTGCTTGCTTTCTTTTATAGCTCCTAATGTGATTCTGCTTGTCTAAAGGCTTAGATGACAGAATAGTTTGGACTAGTACAGATTAAGATGTACCGCTGTCTAATCACATTCCCTCAAATGGGTACACATGCGCAGCACCATAAAATGTCTAGCTTTCTATAAAGAGCATACTTGTGGCCCCTGAGGCTGTTTGTTAATAGGATCTCTTGTGTGACAGTATTCTTCTGCTTATAGTAGGTTTCAAATCAAGGAATAACTCAGTGTCTCCAAATGAACCATTCATGAGGATCTAATCAGTAAAGCTTTCATGTCAGTGGTAGAAAATCAGACATCATTTCCCATATTTTAGGTGACAAGAATAATGGCCAGAACTGCATTTTGATTTTACATTCTGAGCATCTAACATAGGCATTTGATTTTCCTAACTGAATTAGTATGTAGAAAGCCTGGGGAAAGATTGACTGTCCAGACAAGTTTATAAACATCATTCGCTCTTTATATAATGATGGCAAGATTTATATATTAAAGAGACCCTATCAGATGCATTTACTGTGGCTAAAAGCACTAACACAGCCTATTCTTGCTGTTACTATTTATTATCTGCTTTTCAACATGCTCTGCATTTTCTCCAAAGATTCTGATTTAGGGATGAGCAGAGTGTTCCTCAGAAGAAAACATGTTCAATCTGCTGCATGTTGATAGTGAAGTGCTGATGGATGTTATTCCGGAACTTTGATATGTCACGAACTGTACCCCTGTGACTCATAAGAGAAACGAAGCACAGCTATTACACTGATTTTCCAGGGCCACACTTCCATTTCTTCTGACTGCCAGTGCCAGGAAAGACAGAGGTTCTCATCCAGTACCTCCCAATGAATGTGTTTACAGTTCCTGTCATTTTGCTAAGCAACTCATGCCTGGAAGTCACAGACGATTCTGTGGTCTGAGTAGCCTCTCCACTTCCCCCTCCATCTTCCCGAGGAAAATGGTGTCCATTTGACCCGCAATGCTTTTGAATGGGCTCCACATGACTTGTGGAAAGATCACGGTGTTAAGACCAGCATAATCTAAATGAGGAGAAGTACAGGATGGATCAGAACAATGACAGTTCCCTACGATACAGATTTTTTTCAGTTTTTCCTTAACAAAGAACATGGAAGTTTATTAGAAGCTCTCTTTTGTAACAGCTTTGTTGAGATGCAATTTATATAATGTTAATTCACCCACTGCAAGGGTACAATTCAGTGATTTTTAGAAAATCTATAAAGTTAAATACCTGTCACTACAGCAGAATTTTAGAAATTTCTACCATCTGTAAACTTCCTCTGGTGCTTTTTTTCAATTAATACTTCTTTCCAACCTGGCCAGCAGCAGTCTCTGGTCTAATTTCTCTATTTATAAATGTGTCTTTTCTGGATATTTTATATACATGAAATTATACAATAATGCATTAAAATTCTTTCATTAAGCAATATGCCTGCCTGCAAGTTTCAATTATATTGTACATGTATCAGTAGCTTACATCTTTTTATTGTGAGCAATAATCAACTGTATGTTTATCCATTCACCAGTTCAAGGTACTTAGATTATTTGCAGCTTGGGGCTAGATTAATAAAGCTAAGGCACAGGTTCATATACCCAGGTGTCTTTGCGTGGATGTATATCTTCACTAAAAAGAGTAATTGCCCCACCCTCAAAATTAGTTCTTTTTCCTAAATGTCACAATTCTAAACTCTACTAGAGCGATAAAAACCAACAGTAAAGAGCAACACCAGCAAGATTTTCAAAGAACGAAAAGTCTGACCTGATTCATTTCAGTCTGCTGAATTCATTACTTGACTTTTCCTCAACTTCATTTTGTGTCCAGGAACAGGTATACAGAGAAATGACACAAGGTCAAATCAAAATGCTAGGAAAGGTAGCATTTTTCAAGGGTTATGTGCTTTTTATTTCTGGGTGTACAATAGTCTAAAGAACACAATAAAACTCCTGTGGTACTGACTTATTCACACCATAGATTTTTGGGGGGACAGTGTGATAAATTCCCTGTAAAGACTTGATTCTCAGTTTCAATAATATTTTCTCTAAGATGATCTCAGTGACAAGCATTTTAATCTCCAAACAGAAAACTTTCAGCATCATTATGGATATAGAAAATTTTTATGCCCAGTAGACTATTCTTGTTATGGACTGAATGTTGTGTTTTCCCAAAATTCATAGACTGAAAGTTATGGATTCATAGACTGAAAGTGGGATGGTATTAGGAGGTAGGGGCTTTCGGGGTAGGTCTTCACAATGGAGTTGGTGCTCTTATAGAAAGAAAACAGAGCTGTTGCCATGTAAGGGTACAGCATGAATGCCACCATTGGCAAGCAGGTAAGATGTCCTTTCCCCAATAGCACCCAACAATCCCTGCTCCTTAATAACAGACTTCCAACCTCAGAACTATGAGAAATAAATATCTATCATGTAAGCCACCTGGTTCAACTTATTTTGCTACAGGGATCCAAACTAAGACAATCTCTTGGCTATCTTTGAACCACCCTCCAAGAACTTCTTCCTTTCTCACAATATAACAAAACAAACAAATTTATGGAAAAGAAGATAAATACTATTTTGTTGCATTTCTTTTTTTTTTTTCCTAGTGTAAATTCTTATTTGAAGTTTTAGGAAATTTAAGATCTGGTGAAAAGGTACTTCACTTACTTTTGATATTTTTGTGGATAATTTTTCAGAGGCCTTGCTTCTTAATACTGTACTTTACTATAGGATTTTTACACATCAAATAATGATTTTAATTTGCCTTAGTGTCAACACTTTAATGAGAATATACATCCCCCAAACTCCAACGTAAATCACTGGGGAAGTGTGACTTTTTGTGTGCAATGTGCTCAGAGTGACTCTAAGAGGCGCAGCACTTGATAAATTGATGTGCTCCTACAATGTGCATAAGCACTGAAGTAACGTAGCCTTAGCTGAGGTCTCTGATGAAGATCTCCTGCATACAGGCAGAAGCCATATGAGGAAGCCATGTGCCGTCACCACACACTTCCTGGGACAACAAGCTCCAATTATGCTACGTATTGACAACATACTAACCACTGCATGGACATCGTGTGTGACGAAATACAGAAGTATGTCAAAATTGTGCAGTGACTGAAAAAGTGCACAAAGTATAATACCAACACAATCTGTCTCTGGGACAGACAGTAAATAACTTGAGTCTCTGGGAATACCCCTTATCAAGGCATATGCTAAGACAAAAGGCTATACCAGACACCTCCAAGCCACAACCACGAGAGTTACCTTTCAAAAGCAAACCACTGGAGCCTCAAAAGGGTAATGTCTGTCTACATTCAGAGAACATTTGTCTGAAGAATCGTAGGGTAAAAAAGGAATTAAACCTCATTTTCTTTATTTAATAAATAAATGCCTTTTATCTTATGCTCCACTAGTATAGGATTAACAAATACGTAGGCCACATTGTATGCTGGCTGAGGGATATCAATTGTAAAAGACCTATAGTGGAAGGCATGACAATATATAAATCAGTAAAGGGTACTGTGCAGACCTCATATAAAGCTAGCAGAAAAATCTTAAATGTAGACACACGGAGAACATGCAAAGGAAAAGGAGTCTATACAGGTCAGTGGATTATCTCAGAAGCCAAAGGAAATAAGCACACAGAGTGACTAGATGGGGAAGAAACACTGCTATGCCGAATGGCTCAGAGGTCAGGTATGGAAAACCCTGAAAAGCACTCGTCTAATAGCCGAGGTGGTTAGTCATCTCAACTAGACCACAATGGACTAAACTGTGTAGAGAACAAAGAGATAAAAACTGTGGGAACTATTCTTTCAAGGTCTTTGGCTCTAAGAAGAGGAAAAGAGTTACATTAGCAGTGGGAGGAACAGAAGACACGAAGTTAAAGACATTTATGAAGTTATTTATTTAGGTACCTCGACAGACAAAAAGCGGTTTTGGTACTGATGAGAAAGAAGTAGGGGGAAAGATGGAAACAGTTTAGAGAGCGAGTCTACTGATGAACGTCAGATATTTCACCTGTAAGATTGAGAGCTAGTTAGCGATCCAGTTCAGCATCTCTTCATTTTAGATGCAAAGATATGAGGGTTTCTACCCAAGATATCTAACAGCTTCCCTGTATGACAGTAAGTGTCACCTAAGAGTCAAGATCCTCTCACCAGTTCACTGTATCTATTTCTGCTTGCACTTCACTTTGCCTGCTTTTGATCCCTGGCTCCACCTTTATATCGGTCTTTGTTGAACTCCTAGGGTGGGTTTACTAAATAAAATGCTAGATGCCCAATTAAATTTGAGTTTGCAATAAGAAGTTTTTATCTAGTATGAATAGTATGTCTTATTCAATGCTTGTAACAGACTTACATTAAAAAGCAATTTGCATTTATCAGACAGACAACCACATGTAACTATATATTTGGTGTTTTTATTTACCAAGTCTGATACCCCTTCCCCAGGGGCCAGCTAGGCTAGGTGACTCTTCCCAGTACTCTTTGATACCGCTAGCATTTCAGCAGGCAGCCCACAGACCTGTTTTCCAGTCATGCTTTCCTGAGGCCCAGATTGAGAAATTTTAATATGTTCTGCTGATTTCAGATTCTCCAAATATCTGATAAGCCCTAAATCATATCTATTTGTCTTAGCAGTGCATTCTAGCATGCTTCATTTTTCTAGATTTGCTTTCTTCATCATGTGTGATTCAAGTATAAAAAGTTCTCCGTATTCTAGGAACAAACGCTATGGCAGATAAGAACAATAGAAATTGAAAAGAAGATAGGAAAGCGTTTCTAATTTTTCTTTTTCCATAAATAACCCACAAAGCAGGTAAGGAGAAATGATCCTATTTAATGCCAGCTTGTTGGTTGATATGTAAAGGACAGTTTTGGCAAGAATATCTAGGTTTGAGTCCTCCTCCTCCTCAGGGGACTACCTGAAAGTCAGCAACTTCTGGCATTCAACGTGATGGCTATAGAGTACGTACAGGCACAGAAGGACACAGTTGATTTATACAATTCTCACCCGAGCTGTTAACCCAAGCTATACCAAGATATGGGAAAGAGCAGGAAAAGCTCATGGTGGTCAGTCTTTAAAAATATTTCTTAAAAAAACACATTTTGATACCCAGCAGCTTCCTCTTTGCTGAATAGATAAACTGTGAATGACAAAGATCAATCAAAGCCAGTGTTTCACTTCTCTCTAACAGTAGACACTTCTGAAAGAGCGTACTGTTATATCAAGGACTTCCAGAATGTCATTTTTTATACTAAATGAGAAAAACATTTTTTATACACATAAGAATAGTCCCTGTCAAAGTCACACTCATACTCCATAAGTACAATAATAATCTATACTCACTTGACTGCTTTACCTCCATTATGAATATAATCACCATTTGATCAGCAGCTTTAACATAAGGACCCTCTTACATGAGAAGCATAAGGCTGCATACCTTACAAACATTAGTGCTCATTTCAGTGACCCTGGTAGGGACATATTACTAACCTGTTTAACACATAAGGACATTAATGTCCCAAGAAGTTCAAGAGGTATGTGAAGTACAGTGCATAAAAGCTAATGTGAGTTCTGTCTAATAAAACCAAAAAGCCCAAAGCCTTTCCATATTCCCAGATGATAGTACATTCCCTTATAGTTAAGAGGAAGTGAAATCATCCCTATTTTCTAGAACTTAATGGATTTAACAAAAGATACAGATATAGGGTTGCCTTAACCGCATTTAACTTGAAGACGAACAATGCACTAAGATGGTATATGCATGGATCTAAAACTGAGTTTTTTTAAATAGGAAAATAGCTTCTGAAATACCCCTATTTTCTTCATGAAGTTAATTTATCATATATCCCATCTTCACTGATCACAGATGTTTTTGGAGGGATCAAAGTTATATATTGTTTTCTATTATAAGGGTCGAAGAAAAAGAAAAGGAATATTTTGACAGTGTGTGCATCACGAAGAGCTAACAGGGGAAAATGGATAAAAATACAGGTTCTGGATTCAGCCACCCTTGGAT